ACTCAAAAATTATCCAGAGGGTGAGGAAAAGCTTATTTGTGGTAGTAGGTTCTACTCTGGTCAACAACTAAGCTTTTGTTTCGACTTTTAGCGAACTCCGAGTTTTCCAGCAATGAATGGATGGTGCTATTCTTCGCGGAAAGACTTTTATAGCCTCCCCAAATAGGATCATTTAGCAGGCATCTTTTTGAAGCGCATCTAGTGCGTTTCTTTTATTTTAGAAGATCGCGGTCACTATCCTTCCCTTGTGAGTAATAAGCAGCACAAGAAGTGGTTGCAAAGTTTAGCGAAATGTAAAGAAGAATGCAATGTTGTTTAGCTTTGAACTCGAGGTTGCTCCTGATAAAGCTCTTAAAATGAATTCTTCTCATGACAGCGACTGTCTTCTAGCACATTGAGTGAAATCAAAATTTTACAGTATTAGGACAAAAACTGTACTACATTGTTTAAATATTATTTAAACAACATCGACTAATGAGTACTAATAACTCTGACACCAGCGTATCTTGAAGAACGCTTTAATGGGACCAGAATAATTCTAACTTCACAGATAGGTATTCTAGTAGAGGATGACAGTATCTTGTTATTATTTCAGATGTATGGGTTCTAGAAAAAAATAAAGTGAACTTTTAGCACTACTTAGCGAATAGAATAATGTTATTTCTTTGATATGGAAAACTCCGTTCCTTTGTGAGCGAGGATATTGCTATTTGCCACGCATGTGCTTTCTTCAATTTGTAGAAGAAATTTGTAGAATGAATTAGATAAAATTAGAAATTAAATTGAATCTATGCTTTGAGAACATGACATAAAATTCGATTCTACTTCTGGAAACATGCTTATAGCAAAAAAAATGGTGGATACACAGGGTTTCGACAATTTCCCTACGCATGCGCTTTCCTCGACCATTATGGCGAGAACTAAAACAAACAAAATAGAGCAGGGCATTACATAACAATTTCAAAAAAGCGTATTCTTTTATGCACTCAATCGACGACACATTGATACATACACTGAACATTAAAGAACTGAATATTTTTGGTTAAAAATCGTATTTCAAAAAGCTCAACCACCAGAATTCATTCATCTCACAAAGGAAATGGATTTTCTCCTCTGCTGTGCGAAAAAAATTTGGAAGATAAGTGCAAACCTGGAGGATCTTGTCATGCTTCTTGAGCCCAGCTCTGGCAGCGGGTGAGTCTTCTTCAATGTGAGTGATGTAGATACCCTAGAAATGCTTGATTTGATATCTTACATATCTATATGGCGGATAACTCCCTGCCATTTTTTTCAACCTAAAATTCTCTGAAACCCGAAGTTAACACTTATATACCCTTTGAAAAGGAAAAAGATCTCCTCTCCAAAAGGATTTGCTTGACTTATATAGTGGTTTTGACTGCTTAAATTAGAAGTGATTGAATTTGGAAGTTTAAAGGACCGAAACAAAATTTAACCGATAGTTCTTGGAATGCAAAAAGCTTAAACACAGCTTGCCATTGTGGAATAATGGGATATGCTTTTTACCAGAATTATCCACTCCCCAACCTAGGGCCTTACTGTAGCATTACGGTAGGTATATGCTAAATGATCAAAAATGCTATTTTTCTGAAAAATGGTCTAGTGAATTGGCATGCTGATTACAAAAATGTTACGCGCCTCGCACTTGATCCCTTTGCTGTGTAAGGCGCATGGAGCAGAAACACTGTTCTATGGGGAAGGAAAATTTGAATAATTTCGAATCTACTAAGCAATGGCTTTACCACGGAATGGATATGATTTTTGTAACACATGTCAGATAACATCAGCAGACCACTTTTCAGATAATTCAGTGCATTCAACTCTGCATCGCATACCTACCGTAATTCCAAAATAAGGTTTTATCGCGGGAAATGGCTATGAGTTTCTTAATAAACTCACTAAGTAAGTTACTGTAGACTCCGTTTCTCCCAATCCAGGAAAATTAGGTATCGGTGAGTTTTATAAGCTTTTGGAAATACAATTTCAATCACTTGTAGTTCAACAAAGCCAAATTTTTTTTTATTAAACCGCACTAACTATCTCATAGGAGGAGTTTTCTCTT